TTTCGGAACTCTACGCAGTTCAGGAGAGAAACAGGTCAGTATTTTGTTCTTGGAACAGGGCTAGGGAGATGTGTGGACATGCTGTAGTGAGGACCCATGGAGTTCCTGAGGGGAGTGCCGTGGTGGAAGTGTTTAGGGGCAAGCAGTAGGAATTGGTGCCTTTGGGGTCAGATATGGTGTGAGCGCCTTCGTACAACGACTAAGGCTGTCCCGACTACCAGGGTACGTACGGGGTGTTTGCGGATCTCTCTTCATGTAAGTAGTAGAGGTGGTGTTTACGACGAATGCGGCGTCGGGTTCGGGATTTAATATGGGGCATAGTGGTATTTGAACCGGCGGGATGAACTTCCTACAGGTGTGTGGTCCAGGTTTCACATCACGGGGAGTGGTAAGTGTCTGTGCTACAGCCACTTGTGAGGACGGAAGCTTTGGGAGCCCAGGACTCCTGGCTAGGGGTTGATTTGAGGTTGGAAAATCAACTGCTAGGACAGAAGGCGGTACAGTCCTCGGGCAGTAGTTCGAAATTCTTGATTTAGGTAATTATATGTCTTTTCTCTTCTGATCCATGGATTATCTAAGTACAGACCTGGGGACTAATCCACAACACCGGTGGGTCTACAGCTGCTCTCCCATTGCAAACGTAGAGTTGAGTCGTCGTGTGGGAGGCCTTATGGCCCACAAAGCTGGACATAAATACTCAGTTTTTACTTTACTAATAAGCTCTATTTTGTTAATTTTTCATCCCTCTGACAACGTGACCCTTATCCTAGTTTATTCGAAAGTTCTGTATCCCGTTAAGCCCTTATTTGTCCAGTTTCAGTTCCCACTGTTAGTATTTAGGAAAAACAAAGAGATGAGCTTGTGTATATGGAGCATTTCTATCCAAGTATGTATGTGAAAATCTTCTTGGGGGTTTCTTGGTTTAATGAGGCATAAACAATTGCCTGGATTCCTGTAGGATACCGTTCAGGATTAGCACAAAGCTGTGAGGTGGTTCTTGTGAGGTGGATGCAGTGCAGTGAATTACTTAATTTGTCCCTTCTGGGCATACATGGAGCCCTGGTGGCCCACTGGTTAAGAGCTCGGCTGCTAACTAAAAGGTCTGCAGTTCAAATCTACGAGCCACTCTTTGGAAGCCCTATGGGGCAGTTCTGCTGTGTCCTGTAGGGTCGCTGTGAGTCGGAATTGACTTGATGGCAACAGGTTTGGGTTTTTGGGTTTTAGGCATACTTGGTCTTGTGAGTCACCAAAGGGATTGGACAGCTTGCTGCTAATGCAAATAAGGTGCTTGGGACTCTTGTGGGTGGGACCATGTAAATAAGGTGCTTAGAAACCTAACCAGGGGATTGGTCAGATTTGCCATCCCTCTAGGCTTAAAAAGAGCCATGCCAGAGGCAGATAGGGTACCTCACTACCACCAAAAAAGAAGAGCCAGGAGCAGAGTGTGTCCTTTGGACTTGTGTACTCTGCACTGAGAACCTCCTAGACCCAGGAAATGGAAAGAGGTGTAGCACCGGAGATGGCACAATACAGCGAGATGTGGTGGCAGAGAAATGGCAGCAGCAGACCCAGGAGACTGGCATGATATGGCATGGTGGGCTTCCTGGTCACAGAGCAAGGCAACTGCAGTGGGTGCCTGCGTAGCTAGGCTTACTGATCCACGGAGTGAGAGACCTGAGCACCTTTGTGCAGGATGCTTCCTAGTGGAATAGGGTGCCTCTGGTCACTTATTGGCGGAGCTGGAGTGAGACAGAGCTGAGCACCTTTGTGCAGGATGCTTCCTGGTGGAGTAGGGTGCCTCTGGTCACTTAGTGGCAGAGCAGGAGTGCGAGAGAGCTGAGCACCTTTGTGCAGGATGCTTCCTGGTGGAATAGGGTGCCTCTGGTCACTTACTGGCAGAACAAGAGTGCGAGAGAGCTGAGCACCTTTGTGCAGGATGCTTCCTGGTGGAGTAGGGTGCCTCTGGTCACTTACTGGCAGAACTAAAGAGCTTTGTAACCTTACCCAAGCAAGGCAGGGGCTGAGAGGCCATGGGCCAGAGAGAGGCCTGTCAGTGGGCACAGCTGAGAAGAGGCTGTCTTGATCAAAGAACTGTATCCTGAGTCCTTCCTGATCCTGAATTATAAGCTAGTACTTCCCTGATAAACCCCATAATTGTGAGTATTGTGAGGTCTGTGTGGCCATTGCAACAAATTATTGAATCCAGCAGAGACATAGGGACTTCTCTTGTCAGAACTGGTAAAAGGGTTGGAGAGTGGGGGTATGTTTGACCTCCACTTCATGGGAATCAGCTTTGCGCTGATGCTAATGATTCTGTCTCTGCCTTGTGAAGTTACAGGTGGTGTCATGACACCGTCGCACCATGTTTACAGTGGAGGTCACACATACCTCTGCTCTCCAATTACTTCACTGTTTATGACAGCAGCCATTCCCCCCAAGGCACTCTCTACTTCTCTGCTGGGTTCGATAATTCTTTGCAATGGCTACGGGAACTCACAAACTGTACTTACAGTTAAATGGTTTATTAAGGAAGTAAGACAGTACAACTCAGGAGCAGAATCAACTTGGAAATAACAGTCTGTAACTCCATCCTCCAAACTTTTTACCACTTCTGACACTGGCCATCCCTCCCACAGCACTCATTACCTCTCTGCTGCGTTCTGTAATTCATTGCGTTGACTACAAGAACTCAAACACTATAGTCACGATTATAGGGTTTCTTAGGGAACTAACAGTTTACAATTCAGGAACAGGAATGACTCAGGATACAGTTCTTCAGTCAGGACAGTGTCTTCTTGCTGTGCCCACAGCCAGGCATCTCTCTGGCCTTCAACCTCTCCGCCTCACTGCTTCCCTGGTCAAGCAAATGTTACAAAGCCCTTTTGTTCCACCTATAAGTGTCCAGAGGTACCCTACTCTGCCAGTAAGCCTTGGCTCAAAGGCACTGAGCTCTCTCCCTCCGTGGGTCTGCAAGGCTAGCTCCGCCGACAAGTGCCTGGAGGCACCCTGTTCCATCAGGAAGATTACTGCCCAAAGACTCTCAGCTGCCTTGCTCCTTTGGTCTTCCCACCCACTGTAGTCACCTTGCTCCATGGGCCAGGAAGCCCACCACACCTTCTCACTGCAGTCTCCTCGTTCTGCTGCTGCCATTTCTCTGCCACTGCTTCTTGCTGTTTTATGTCATCTCCAGTGTTACAGCTTTCTCTGTCTCCATCTCCTGGTCTAGGAGGTTCTGAGCGCAGGGACCCCCGGACCAAATAATGTGCTTTGCTCCTGTTTGTTCTTGTTGGTGGCAGTGAGGTTCCCCCCGTCTTCTCTGGGATTGGCTCTCTTTTTAAAGCTAGCAGGATGGCAAAATTGACTGTCTCATCATTAGGGTTCTATACACCTTATTTGCATGATTCCACCACCACAATGGTGCCGTACACTTATCTGCATTATTACCAAGCTGTCCAATGCCCTGTGTGGGCCACATGCCACTTAATTTGCATAGTCCCACCCAATTATTGTGGGACTTACAAGACCATGCATGGCTAAAAGGCCATATTAAGTAATTCACTACACATCACTTATGGTTGAAATGTGCAGTCATTATGGGGTATATGTACTTGATGTATACCCCAAACTTAAATTGTTGTATCAAAGTGTATGTATAACTTGCACCTGACAGATGATGCCTAAGAGTTTTCTAAAGAGGTTGTACCACTTAACAGTTGCTGCAGCAGAATGGTCTTTGCTTCATGATAGTGTAATAGGTGCCCTGTTTAAAATATGTTTCAATACTCTAATGTCATCTTCTTAAAACTTTATGGATTTGCTTTCTCATTGAGAGTCACAGTTAAACAAGAATGGATATTTGTGTACGTTGTGAGGTAAGAATCAATCTTATTTTTCTCTTTCACATGTATCTGACTATCCAAGCACTGTTTTTTCAAAGACATCTTTTACCCGTGTTGTTATTAGGTGCTGTCTAGTCAGTTCTGACTCATAGCGACCCTGTGTACAACAGAACGAAACACTACCCAGTCCTGCACCATTTTCACAATCGTTATGTTCGAGCCCATTGTTGCAGCTACTGTGTCATTCCATCTCGTTGAGGGTCTTCCTTTTTTTTTTTGCTGACCCTCTATTTTACCAAGCATGATGTCCTTCTCCAGGGACTGGTCCCTCCTGATAATGTGTATGTGAGACAAAGTCTTGCCATCCTTGGTTCTAATGCACATTCTAGCTGTACTTCTTTCAATATAGATTTGTTTGTTCTTTGGCATTCGATGGTATTTTCAGTATTCTTCTCCAGCACTGTAATTCAAAGGCATCAGTTCTTCTTCGGTCTTCCTTATTTATTGTCCATCTTTCACATGCATATGAGGCAATTGAAAATAACATGGCTTGGGTCAGGCGCACCTTAGTCCTGAAAGTGACATCTTTGCTTTTTAACGCTTTAAAGAGGTCTTTTGCAGCAGATTTGCCCAATGCAATGCATCCTTTGATTTCTTGACTGCTGCTTTCATGGGTGTTAATTGTGAATCCAAGTAAAATGAAATCCTTGACAACTTCAATCTTTTCTCCATTTATCATGATGTTGCTTATTGGTCCAGTTGTGAGGATTTTTGTTTCCTTTATGTTGAGGTGTAATCCATACTGAAGGCTGTGGTCTTTGATCTTCATCAGTAAGTGCTTCAAGTTGTCTTCACTTTCAGCAAGCAAGGTTGTGTCATCTGCATATCGCAGGTTGAGTAATGAATCTTTCTCCAATCTTGATGCCGCATTCTTCATCATATAGTCCAACTTCTTGGATGATTTGTTCAGCATACAGATTGAATAAGTATGATACCCATATATCTGCAAATTTTGAATTGTAGGTTTTATTGCCCATGGATGTAAAATGTTCAGGGGCAGCAGAACAGTATTGGGGGCTTTGTGTTAAGAGGATTGCCCAAAGCTGTGACAACATGTGTGCCTAGAGGAAATGTACCACTCACATTGAATTCTTCCTTCAGCCTACAGGTCTTGATTCCTCAGCAGCAAAAGAATCAATTGAAAGGAGGAAGAGGTTCCAGGATTTCAGTATTGTCATTTCTGGGAACACCATTCACGGGAGACTGAGATTTCTGAACAGAAATTTGAGCTGATCCAGAAAACACAGAGAAAGCATTCCCGATGCTGGCCATGTCACAAGAATAAAAGAAAATGGTCAAGGTGCAGGTGACTTTTAGTTTGTTTTATGCTTTACATTGTTTCCTAATGAATTTGTAGAGGCCTGTAAAAAAATCAGTTCGCTCATCTAAAAAGTATTAATTTGGAAAAGTTAGAGCTGGAGAGAAATAAACAGACTCTGACTTCAACATCAGGCAAAGTAGGTTCAGGAATCTGTTGTTCACAGGATTAACACTAAATTATTGACATTGAACACAGTATGTACTGGACCATCCTGTGGGTTATGTTAGCTGTCAACTAACATCTAATATTACTCTGGCCAACATAAGAGAATCTTTATAATTTAAATGATATGCTCAATTTTTGAGGAGAAAGAAGATCAGTGATTTTAGTATTGTTATGGGACTTTTTTTGTCTGAATAAGTTTCTTTGATGCTTCTTCCTAGAGGTGATATGGTGGACAGTGTCCTGAACAGCAGCATTCTCGTAAATGCAAAAGCACGTTTCCTACGGCTGTTTCTTCCCAGGTTCTTCATAGACCCCTGTAGGAATAGACCAGGCAAACTCAGTGGTCATAGGAGACAAACGCAAGTTAACGTATGGGCTCAGCTTGTGGTGTCTAGATTTATGTATTAGTTAAACCTAAACATGATTCGTAAATGGAATCAATGCACAGCTGTCAAATGGTTCTTAATGAACTGGTGTTTGAGTAGAGATTTCGAAGTAGGGAGTAGCTCTGTGACCTTCCACATGCCATTTATAGCTGTTGTACACCTGAGTTCTTCCATCTATAAAATGAAGGTGATGATAAAGGTGTCTCATACAGTTATTGTGGAGATGACATTAGTCAGTCTATGTAAAGCATTTAGAAGAAAGTCTAGTAAGTGATATGAAAGAGCATCCAGTGCCCCTAGTCTTTCCAATACTTGTTATTGCAGTGTTATCGAACGTCATCACTTTCAGCAACTTACATGGCCAAATATTTTCCTGTCTTGCTTTCTTTTGTTTTTTTCTAATTACTTATGTTTTAATATATACATATATATGTATGTGTATGTATATGTCCGTGTTTGTGTGTGTATTGTTTTTCCCAGATCACCCAATTATCTCATCTCTTGTTCTTTAAATATTTTTTATAGCTTCTTTAATTCCTTTTTACAAGAGATTAAACCCACTTATTAAACATGTTGTTTCTTATAATTTAGATACCTGAGGTCTTTTCTCTGGAGATTCTGATATTGGCTTTGAAGGCTCATGTTGAGTGTAGGAACGTGCTTTTTTTCTTCCGACTGACGCTAACAGTTAGGTGGCCAAATACACATTCACACACACACTCGTGTGTGTATGTGTATCTGTATATTTGTGGATATACATGAGTGTGTGTGTGTGTGTGTGTGTGTGTGTGTGTGAGTGAGTGTGAGATGTTTCTAACTTAGAGGATTTCATTGCTACCCATTGTAGAAACTTCTAATTTGAGGAATGGGTAGAAGATTAAATCACAATTACAGAATTTTTTTTAGGATTTTGTTTCTTCTGCAAGATATTAAAAAAAACAACACTTGATATATAGATGCAGCATACCCAGTATATAGAGAAAATCAGCAGAACAAGTTTCTTCACATTTCAACCATATCATCAAAAGGAAGTAACTTCATGAAATGGAACCCTGTTATTACAGGCGTCACTGACATTCAGCGATGTGGCTGTGGAGTTCACCTGGCAGGAGTGGCAGCTTCTGGACACTGCTCAGAAGGACCTGTATCGGGATGTGATGTTGGAGAACTATGGGAACCTGGTGTCCGTGGGTGAGGACAGCTCCCCTGTATCCCTCAGAGGGTGTCCAGTCAGTGACCTTTCCTTTCTTAGGTGCTGTAAGCTTTGGAGTGCCCGGTACTCTGAAGTGGCAGATTTTTAGTCCACTCTGGTGCCCCTAGATAAGTGGGTCTATTCTCCCTCTCCTGAGAGAAAAACCTTTACTTCGTATGACTGAATATTGTTTTTTGACCAGTGTAGTAGCATTCTGTAGTCTTCACAAACCCAATTCCAACTTGGTGAGTCTAAGATTCTGTGATTTCCCATGAACAGGGTATGAAGTTAGCAAACCAGATGCACTCTCCAGGTTGGAACGAGGAGAACAGCCATGGACTGTGTTAGACGAAAGCCATAGTCGAACGTTTTCAGGTGAGTGAGCGGAAAGCAGCAGTGGGAGAAGTCTATGGAAGTCACATTCTAGTCAGAGACTGTTCTCAGCTATGAGGGTGTCTGGGGATACATAACAGTGCCTCCACATACCCCTCTCTCATGTGAGTCATCTTCTTCTTTGTAAGAATTTAGAGAAAAACATATACCTGTATCTCTTCTGTGATCAGAGCCCTGTTAATTTGACATGCATCTTTATACTTTTGTTTGCATAGTCTGCTTATTCATAGGATTCTTAGACCTTTACATTCTTCGTATCCTTCCATCTCTTTTGCTGTGAAATTCTACCTTCTAGGCCTCTCTCCACAGACAGAACTTTGAATTCATAACTGTCCTCTGAGTATGGCACCTTCCTTCCCCGTTGAGTAATACAGATTTCGCTTCCTATCATCTTGCCTCACCTGGGATGTTGTCCTCCCATGGTAAACTGGTCTCTTATTATGTTTCTTTCTGCTTCCTTGGAGCCCTGGTAGTGCAGTGGTTAACTCGTCTACTAGCCAAAAGGTTGGCAGTTTGAATACACCAGCAGCTCCTTGGAAACCCTATGGGGCAGTTCTCCTCTGTCGTATAGGGTTGCTGTGAGTCAGAACCTACTCGACGGCAACAGGTGGTAGTAGTAGTATCTGCTTCCTTAGCTTCTCTTTTGTCCCACTCTGAGGTTTTTACAAAGATGCTGATTTTCATTTTCTCATTTGTTCTCCTAACACTTCAAAATTTCCTTCATTCTAATGGGTTAACCATTTTCAGTTCCCTAGAGATTTTTGAATTGATATCTCCCTTGATATTGTCCAGCATAAACTTTCATCTATGTATTTTACTCATTTGAAAAATCTTTTTTAACATCCTGTATTCTCAGATCCAATGTATGCCAGATCATAACTGATACCTACTTCAATTTAATTTCTTTGTATATTTAATTTTTCTGATTTTTCTCCTAGTTCATTGTAAATGTCACCAATTTATTCATTTCAGTCCGTTAGGGCCCTTTTCCAGTTCCAGAGCTCTGTATGTTAGAATGATTAAAACGTTGGTGTTCATCTTCTTTTAATGTACATGTTCTCTGAATATGATCTTCTGTTCTCTGTCCTTAGATCATATTTACATACTAAAGTTTCACCTCCAGTGAGGATTTTTCTCAAGATTTATGAATCCTTGTGAGTTTTATTTCTGTGCTTGGATATGTAATAACTACGTTTCAGAATGTTTGCTGGATCATTCTATGCTTCAGTGATATTTCTCATCTTATTACAAGACAGTACTACCCCATAGATCATGTCAAATACTTAGCCACAACTCTTGATTCCTCACTTGCTTTACCTCAACCCAATCCCCCAACCCCAGCAACAGTGAATCCATCAGTGAGCTTTCTCTTCCTCCAGAATTAATCTTCATTTCCTCCACTTCTCCCCACCCTCTTTTTCAAACCACATTTCACAATCTATAGCTACTTTCTTTATGTTTCCCTTGCTTTTTTAGTGATTTTACCGAAGTAGAATGTAGGCTCCATAAATATAAAGGAATATGTTTGTGTACCACCAATACCTTTACTTTGAATGCGTGAAATTTGTTTTGTCCCAAATGTAACCTTCTGCATTCTTCACATACCCAGCTATGCCTGCTGTATAGTTGTCATTCAGTAAGGATTTGTGGAAAGAAGGAATCCGTCCTTCACCGGTTTAGAGCAGGTGGCCCTCCAGCCTCTGTACTCTGCTGTTCACAGTGATTTACTTATGTTTTACAGTTTTGCTAGGCCTTTTGTAGGAGGCAGCCGATTCTGTATTTATTTGTTTTGTATGATCTAACCTTGTTCTATAGTGGTTGCTTTTATTGTTTGGGTTATATATAGTGTGTTTAGCAGTGTACAAGGAACATTAAACATGGAGTTTTGTTCACACTCATACCATAGGGTTGTCACTAAAGAGCCACCTTACATCAAAGCACGTTTAAATCAGTTTATTTCTAATGGAGATGATGGAAGGATTCATTGTTCTCCTCTCTCCTAGAAATCTTTAAATTTGATGATTATCTGAGCCCTTGCAAAATGAAAGCAGGGAAGATAGAATGAAACAATGCTGTGAACATAATGCATTAGAAATTTTCATTCATCAGCTCACAAGTCTTTTTCCCTTAAGGCAGAATCATAGTATATTTGACTTACATGAAGTATCTGTGAAGTCAGATTTAACTTTAATCAAACAGAGCAGGAACTATGACATAAACAACTCTGCTGAGCTTAACAGAGGTGGGAAAATCTTTCCCATGCTGACCATGAGCAATTTCATATTGAATCTAAATTCCCTCAGAGTTGGATATCCAACACCACTAAGTGCCAACTAATTAAGCACCAGAAAACTCAAAAGATAGACAAACTGCATGTATGCAGTGAATGTGGGAAAGCCTTCATCAAGAAATCTTGGCTTGTTAGACATCAGAATTGTCACAAACTGTTTCAATGCAGTGAATGTTTGAAAGCTTTCCCCACAAAGCACAAGCTTATTATACATCAAAGAACTCAAATGGGAGAGAGGTGGCATGGCTGCAATGAGTATGGAAGAACTTTCCTCTACATGTCTTGTCTTCTTAGACATAAAAGAAAAGACACAAGAAAGAAACATGTAGATTAGGCAAGGTGGAAAACCCTTCCACAGCGAGTCACGCCTCATCACATACCGGTGATCTCAGGCAGGACAAAAACCCTGTTAGCACAGTGACTATGCAGATGCCTTCTGTGGCAGCTCAGACATCAGTAAACACCAGTGGGCTCCTGACAAATGGGAACATAGTCCTTGTGGGACAGCCTGTTGCCAGAAGTGAACCATCAGGAGATAATAGAGAAGTTGTACAGCAGAGAGTCCTTATGAATATAGTGTATGTGGTAGTGCCTTCAGTGATCAATTACGTAATATTTTTGCCCCACAAAACCTATAGGATAAACTGAGATACATTCACTGGGGGCTAGTGATTAGCAAAAATTTGTATTTCATTGTATGGCTACAAAGTGTATCCTGAGGGAAATCATATGAATGCAGGAACTGGGAAAGCCTGACATGCTCATTGTATGTAAATATGTGCATTCATTTAATGACATTATCTCATTTTAACGTAAACACATACAGTGTGATTGCTCTCATGTGTCAGTTAAATGAATTAAAGTTCAAGTTCATATCAGTGGATAAAATAAGTAATGTAATTTTTTTTTTTTCCAAACAGAATGAGTCTTAACTTTTATTTCTTGTTATCCTTGGGTTCCATGAGTCATCTCTATATCCTTATTTTTTTTTAACTCTGTCTTTATTCCTTGAGCAATCTTTTTTTTTCAATTGTAATACCTTATGTTTTATTTCATTTTGGTGATGATTTTTATTGTGCTCTATGTGAAAGTTTACAGAGCAAATTAGTTTCTCATTAAACAATTAATACACATATTGTTTTGTGACATTGGTTGTAATGTGAATTTTTAAAACAGAAAAGATAACCAGTATCTGAAATTGTTGCCTGTTGTTGTTGTTAGTTCCCATGGAGTCGATTGTGAGTCATGTTGACCTCATGTGATATAAACGAACAATCACTTGGGAGAGAAACCCTAAGGGGCAATGTTGGATTGGTGGGATTTGGGCACATATGTATATTAGTTCAGTTTCCCCCAGATCTATGTGAAGGAACAATTGAAAACCAGAATGTCTACTATCAATTTTAGAGCTTTATATTATGCAGAGGAACCTATGAAATAATAGACTTACACTGAGTCTATTCATGAGTGTAAGGAATATTTCTCACATCCTGCCTTTGTGCCTGGCTGTGTTTCCAGGAGCTGAGGATGCAGTGGTGAATAAAAAAGAAAAAGCCCATGCCCTCTTGGAGAGAGCACTGAGTTAGTTGGATTATATTTAAGTGGAGTCTTGACACTCCAGCTAATCTAGTCAAAGGATGATGCAGTATCTGTATTAGGTGAAATACACATGGAATAATTGGTAGAAGGGGTGTAGTTAGAAGTTTTGAGAGTTAGAAAATCTTAAAACTTCTAATGACAGTTTCTTGTCAAAATCTAGTTGCCATTGAGTTGATTCCCACTCCTGATGACCCCGTGTGTGTGAGATTAGAACTCTGCTTCCTAAGGTTGTCCATGGCTGATTTTTTGGAAGTAGATCACCAGGTCTTTCTTTCATGGCACCTCTGGGTGGACTCAGCCCTCCACCCTTACAGCTTAGCAGCCGAGTGCATTAACCATTTATACTACTCACAAATTCCGTGGGGTAAGGCCTCCTTTTAATGATACTTAACTGTCCTAGGATACAAGTTACTTTCTTAATGCCTTTGTCTTATCTCCCTAATTAGATTATAAATTCCTTAATATTTTTTATTACTATTGTAGTGACATGAGTTCCTTTACATGGCCTTTAGCCTTGGTTTTTTGTGGAAGCCACTTGGGAGATATTTTTACCCTAAGCTCTGAGGTGTTCTTGCCTTTGCCCTAGCTTTTTGGAGAGGGAACCTGAGGAGAGGGGTTCTCCCAGTTTGTTTTCTACCCCCAGAGAGTTTGTTACTTTTGCCCAGGGAATTTCCCCATGTTGATTGACATTTTCCTGGATTAGGTGTAAACAACTTGATGGTTTCATACTTTTGTCTGGGTGGCCTGGTAATTTAACAAGACCTGAGTTGATTGATGGAGCCCTGGACGCTAATCATAAGGGCGGCAGTTTGAATCCACCAGCCGCTCCTTGGAAACCCCACGGGGCAGTTCTATTCTGTACTGTAGGGTTACTATGAGTCGGAATCGACTCAATAGCAGTGGGTTTGTTTTTTTTTTTTTTTTCCATTATTATCAATAATTTGACAGCAATAATTTATGACTGTTTAAATTTTAAAATAAATTAAAAATTCAGTTCCTCAGTTGCACTAGCCACATTTCATGTGTTCAGTAGCCATGTGTGACTAGTGCTTACCAAATTGGACAATGAGCAAGACTCTGTATAACTCTTTATATGGCGATATGCTGAGAGGATTCTTCATCATTTCAATCATCCCGGAAAATTAGAGAGACTGGCTTACGTGGTTTTATATTTTCCAGCACACAGAAAAATAACTAATTATATATTGATTTGGAAAGTGAATGAATGATCTCATGAACTAATCAAAGATTGTTTTGTCATTGATGTGAATGAGCCATTGGAAGGCAGTTTACAGAACAGAATTGTCCCAAGAAATGTTTTAATGTATCATTTGAGAGAATAAGTAACGGAATGTAGAGTTGGAAGAACAGAAAAGGAGAAGGATCCCCAGAATAAGTAGAATAAAATGGAAAGCCAGAACCTTAGTCTGTAAGAATGGAAGTGGTTGCTGTTGTTGCTCTTAGTTGCCATCAATTCAGTTCTGACTCATAGTGACCCCATGTGTACCAATTAGAACTGCTCCATAGGGTTTTTAAGGCTGTGACCTTTCGCATAGTCATCAAATCAAATCCAAATCTTCATTTTTCACTGCTGTTCAGTTCTAACACTAAGCACGTATGCAGTACTTCTGTCTCTGACACTAGCCCCTCATAGTTGGGTCAGATCTCACTAGTGAAAAGGACATAGTCCTTCAACCCAAGACCTTGGATGCCCGAAGCCTCTCCTTGCTTCTGACCTACAGATTCAGGGTTTTCCCACTACCCCTTCAGAATTTCAGCTGCAAGTGTGGAGACCAACTTGCTACAAATTTGGGGGTTTCCTCTACCCCCTTAGTATACTAGCCACAAGGTTAGAGTTTCCCAGCATCCTTCTGACCTGGTGGCTCACACTAATACCTTGTGTTTCATAATTTGCTAGAATGACTCACATAGAATGACTCACACAGCTCATGAAAAATGGTATTCTTACAATTACAGCTTTGTTATAGCAAAAAAAGATACAAAGACATGCATAGATCAAGGTCTGGTAGGGTTCCCAACAAAAGCTTCAATGACTGTGGCACAGTGCATTACTTAATATTGTCCTTTTAACCATGCATGGTCTTATAACTGCTACACAATGATTGGGTAGGACTAAGCAAGTAAGATGCTTGCGGCCCACCAAGGGGATTGAATAGCTTTCTAACAATGCAAATAAGGTTCATGAAATGCTTGCAGGGGGTGGGGTGGGACCATGCAAATAAGGTATATGGAACCCTAATGAGGGGATTAGTCAATTCTGCCATCCTTCTAGGCTTAAAACGAGAGTCAATCACAGAGCAGGATAGGAGAGAACCTCCTAGCCCATGTGCTGTGATAAATCACTTTTATATGGCCTTTTTTGCCATGGTCTTCCAACTCCCACCAAATGACTAGATGGGGCTATGGAAATGAGGTGCTTGTGGCCCATCAGGGGGATTGGATGACTAGCTAATAATGCAAATAAAGTGCATGGCACCCTTGTGGGGGTGAGACCATGCAAATAAGGTGTATGGAACCCTAACGAAGGTATTGGTCAGTTTTACCATCGAGCTAGGCTTAAAAAGATAGCCAATCCCAGAGCAGAAAAGGAACCTCACTATCATCAAGCAAGAAGAGCTAGGAGCAGAGTGTGTCATTTGGACCCCAGGTCCTTGCGCTGAGAACCTCCTAGACCCATGCAGCGCTATGGATCACTCTTGTACGGCCTTCTCACCATGGTCTTGTAACTCCCACTAAATGACTGGGTGGGACTATGCAAATGAGGTGCTTGCGGCCCACAAGGGGATGGGATAGCATACTAATAATACAAATAAGGTACATGAAACCCTTGAGCGGGTAGGACCATGCAAATAAGGTGTATGGATCACTTATGAGGGGATTGGTTAGTTTTGCCATCCTGCTAGGCTTAAAGGGAGACATGGAGAGAGAGGAGCTGTTACATGGAAGACAGCAAGAGATGGTGGTAATGGAAGACAATGAGAGATGGCAGCACAGCAGTAGCAAGCGCAATAGCGGCATGAGGCAACTGGAGCAGGAGACTGGTGTGAGATGGCTACGGTGGGGCCTGTTGACCCACGGAGCTGAGAGTTGTAACAGTTGCCCAAGAAGGCCCCGAGCAGGGCCCAGCAGAGCCCAACGGCAGCAAGGCCCTGAGCAGGGCCCAGCAGCAAAGGGCGAGAAGAAGCTGTCCTGATCAAGAACTGTATTCTGAGTTGTTTCTGTTGCTTCTGCGTTGTACCTGATTCCAAATTGCACCCTCTTGTTTTTCTAATAAACTACTTAACTGTAAGTATGGTTTGTGAGTTCTGTTAGATGTTGCAGTGAATTATGGAACCCAAAGATTGGAGGGAGAGTGCTGAGGGGAAGGGCAGTAGCTGATGTTAGAGATGAGGAAGTGGGATGGCAGTTTGCAAAATTTGGACATTTGGGACATCTTTAACCTCCATCTCATAGGAACCAGCTTTGTGCTGATCCTTATAAAAGAAATTATTCACTTACTTGGTGTCAGAATGATGGGATTTGCTGTAATGGCCCAGATTCACTGGAATATGTGGTTTTGGGAAAGAGGTGGTAAATGGGATAATGAGAAACTTTTGAATCTGGATGGGATGAGAAACATCCATGGATTGAAGCAGATGTTATGTTGCAGTCAGTTATCCAAGGCAACAGCTATCCATGGGAAGTAGGAGTGGCAGGTCTAACTCCTGAGGGTTTGGCTTGTTGGGTGCATAAGGACAGAGTGATAAGGAAAGGATGAGACATACAATTTCTTGGTTGCTGTTACCAGTGATAGCTGTAATGACAGGGAAAAAGAATGTAGGGGTGAATCATAATACTGAACCAAGCCTAGATCCAGTCTGGTTGCAGCTACTTCAGTAGTCTTAATATCGACCAGGAAAGGAAAAATCGTGTCAGAACAAAGGAAATACCCCTATGACTGCTGATCACCAAGAAGGTAGTTGGGAGGGGAATGAGCAAAATGAAGAAACAGTTGAAACTAGGGGGTATAATGTAAAGGAGTTGCTTCAGTTCGTAGATGTGTATCATCAGATTTCTGAGGAACTGTAACTACAATGGATTGTGAGAGCGACTAATTTAGGGGCAGTGTCTTTAGTTTTGAATGCTGCAGAATGGAAGAAAGAGTATGTTTGGGTTCATGCAAGACCCACAACTCAGTGTGGAACAGTCAAGAATGATGATACAAGGTACGGTTGCACAGCAGGTTAACACGAAGGGTACAACCAGCCTGAAGGATTGGATAAAATTTACAGTGAGATTGGTTTACCCTGAGAAGGGAAACTGCCTTCTCCCCCTCTAAATACCCTTGATGTGCTGCTTATGCAAGCCATGGCTTTATGATGATTAGGATATTTCCCCAGTGCGTATGCCCCTGACACAGGTCATGGCAGATACAGTAATCAAGGAAGCCCCTTCTACATGCGCACCCCATATAAACTTGCTGCTGTGAAACAAAGCAATAATAGGAGAAGCCTTGTTGGATCTATTGGCATAGCTTTCCTGCGTGGGTCTTACAGATGGAAGAATATAAGGGTGATTCATAGACTAGTGGGAAGAGGCAATGGGGAAAGAACTTACTGCAGCAAGATGGAAATTTTTAAATGTTACTAAGAAATGGAATGAATATAGTAGACATTGATGGAGTTTAGATAAAGTTTCTAATGCATCACTATAGGAGGTTGGGTGGACCAAACAGGAAACTCCTGCTGGTGCCCCATTGTTAAAGAGGCCTAAACAAGTCTGTTCTATTTACCACAGTTGGTAGAAATTTAATGATGGGAAGTCCCACCTGGGACCATTTGGAGCAGAAGCTCAGCTAGTCAATCTAGATAAGGACTGACAAGGGGCCAGGGTCTTCTGGTCCAGCCCCCAGCAGGGGACACTATGCAATATGTACATGTTTAGGTGAAATGGCCCAGGGGTGGGGAAGAGACAGGAGCCCAATGCCCTGTAATGCCCAAACCTGTCAATAAAATCTTGAAGGGGCCTAAGGTTAAATTGGGGGAATATGGGAATGCAGTGGTTGATGGGACTAAGGTGAAAGTTTAGATGAGAATTGGAAAATATAACATCTTGTATGAAGCAGTTGCATTTCTGTTACCAGAATGTATTATTGGTATGGTTATTATGTCTAATGGGAGAACACCCCTTCTGTCTGATAATGTAAAGCTAAAGGTGTGTAAGTCTGACCTTAGGGCAGTATTGACTGGATATGCTAAATGGGAACCATTAGAATTGTCCTAACCACTTAGGTTGTTGATGTGAAACAATATAGGATACCTGGTGGACAAAAGATTACTGCTTTGATTAAAGACCTGCTGTAGGCTGGAGTGTTGGTGCCAATAAATTCTCTGTATAATAGCCCTGTTTGGTCCGTGAAAAAGGCAAGTGGCTCGTGGATGCTGACAGTAGACTATCGAGCCCTAAATAAAGTAGTGCCACCTGTGGCTTCAGCTGTTCCAGACATGGTATCAACGATGCAGAAAATACAGAAGGCTAAGGACTGGTATCCAGTGATTGACCTTGAAAATTAAAATGCCTTTTTCTCCATCCCAATCTTGGAAAAGAGCCAGCCACAGTTAGCTTTATGTGGGAAAGATTCCAATTTACATTCACTCTGTTGCCACAGGGTTACTTGAATTCATCAGCTTACTGTCATAGTTTGGTTAGAAGAGACTTGGACTTGTTGCAAATTTCAAGTGTAATGGTATATTACATCGATGATATTGTGTTAATATCAAACCCTGAAGAGTAGGCTAGGGCTGATTTGAATACAGTCATGGCCTGCATGCCCAGCAGAGGCTGGATAACAGATCTAGCAGAAGTCCAGGGCTCTGTCCAAACAGTGAAATTCTTGGGAATAACTTGGGCAGGAGCCACCCATGACATTCCACAGGCAACCAAGAATAAGTTGCTGTTACTACCTACCCCCAAAACTAAACAGGAGACCCAGTGTTTGGTTGATCTGTTTGGATTTTGGAGAATGCATATTCCACATCTGGGAATATTACTGGCTCCTATCCACAAAACTACTCAGAAGAAAACATTTGAATGGAGGCCAGAGCAATAGCAGGCTATGTCTGACTTACAGAAAACAGTCTCACTCTCCCTGCCTTTCGGCCCTTATGGTCCAGATTCAGACATGATTTTAGAGGTGTCTGTCACACGTGCTTATGCAGACTGAAGCTTAATGGCAAAAACCTGAGAACACTGCACTACGGTGACTGCTAGGATTCGGGAGTAAAAAGCTTCCAGATGCTACAGCACAATAGACAGCATTTGAAAGGCAATTACTTGCCTGCTGTTGGGCATTGATTGAGATTGCCTCAATGACAGAAGGACATAAAATTATCATGAGACCTGAAATACCCATAATGTCTTGGGTGATGTCAGAGAAACACTCTAATAAGGAAGGCAGTACCCAAAATTGTTCCATAATAAAACGGAAACGATTCATGCAAGAACAAGCTGCTACCCCTTTGGGAACAAGGGAGAATGAAAAAAACTAAAGATACAAGGGAAAGATTAGTCCAAAGGACTAATGGACCACAACTACCACAGCCTCCACCAGACTGAGTCCAGTACAACTAGATGGGGCCTGGCTACCACCACTGACTGCTGACAGGGATCACTATAGAGGGTCCTGGACAGAACTAGAGAAAAATGTAGAACAAAGTTATAACTCACAAAAAAAGAGCAGACTTACTGGCGTGACAGAGACTGGAAGAAACCTCAAGAGTATGGCCCCTGGACACACTTTTAGCTTAGTAATGAAGTCACTGATGAGGTTCACCCTTCAGCCAAAGATGAGACAAGCCCATAAAACAAAATGAGACTAATGGGGCACACCTGCCCAGGGGCAAGGACTGGAAGGCAGGAGGGGACAGGAAAGCTGGTAATGAGGAACCCAAGGTCAAGAAGGGAGAGTGTTGACATGTTGTGGGGTTATTAACTAATATCATAAAACAATATATGTACTGTTTAATGAGAAGCTAGCTGTGTGAACCTTCATCTAAAGTACCATTAAAAACAAAAAGCTGCTGAGGGAATGCAGGGAGGTACCCACTGTATCCACAAGTAGGTAGTCTCTTTTCCCATAGGTCCTACCGTGGAACCACTTGAGAAGCTACCAGTGCTCATTACTACACGGACAGTGCTCTGTGAACAACTTTCTGCTGACCAGCAGAAGGCTGCTTTGTTCACGAATGGCAGTTCCAGGGTACATGGACAGCATTTGATGTGGAAAGCTGCTGCATTAAGACCAGCAGATGGAAAACCCTGAATGAAGAAGATAAGAACAGGTCAGCTCAATGGACTAAACTGAATGCTGTCTTCCTAACCATGATGGAAGAATTGGGCAATTGTGAGAGCCCATATGTTTGCATTTTTACCAATTCATGAGCAGTAGCCAACGACCTGGCTATATAGTTAGGCAAATGGGCGATGGAAAATGGGACTATTAAGGGGACAGTTGTGTGGGGCATGGACCTATGGAAAGCACTCTGGGAATTTAGAGGGCACGTTAAAATAGGACACGTTGATGCCCATCAGAAGAACCCCCTTCCTGGGCTTCTCTGGAGGATCTGGGGAAGAGAGGGTGGGGAAGAATGCTGGTGCCACTATACAGTTCTTCCCCATATCACCCAAAATTGCTATTTTCTACCAGATGCTGCGGTCCCAGGATGGGGATGCAGCTGTGGGTGCTGGAATCAAGGGTGAGCCATAAGCAAGAGACTGTAACTGTACCCCTGAACCTGTATGCAAGAATTCCCAAGGGCCTGATGGGATGGACTGTACCTTCCCCCAATCTGACAAAATCGGAGTTGACTGAGTACTGCCGTATTGCCTAGTGAGCAAGATAGGCCATTAGTGTACCTATGTAACCCTACCCAACATAAGTGGGAGTGGACTGAGGGGGAAGTATTTGCTAGCTACCAGCATTTTGCTACTGCAGCTGAAACTGATGTCCCTTTTTAATGGCGTGGTGGAGGTATCTGACCTCTTCTAACTTCGCAAGGGTGAAGGAGAATCAAGATCAACAGCCCAAGGATGATTCCTGTGAAGCATAGGTCAGAAATGCCCCCTCTCTGCCATCTTTACCAATTCTGATACCAACTGTCCCTCCTTTGGAACTCTCTACTTCTCTGCTGAGATCAGTAATTCATTGCAGTGGCCACACAGAACTGAAGGACAGTGCTCACGATTATGGAGTTTATTAAGGCAGCAAAAGGTTACAATTCATATTCAGGAATGCTCAAGATACGTTTATTCCATCAGGACAGCCTCTTCTCAGCCGTGCCTGCAAGTACACCTCTCTCTGGCCCTCATCCTGTCCTGCTCAGGCAGGTGACAGAGTTCTTGTAGCTTTGCCTATAAGTGCCCCAAGGATCCCCACTGTGCCTGTACGCTTTGGCCCAAAGGCGCTCAGCTCTAGCTCCGTGGGTCAGTAAACCTAACTTCACCAAGTTCTGGGAGGCATCCTACTCCACGAGCAAGCCTCTTGTCCAAAGGCACTTACCTTTGTCACTCCATGGCCTCCCAGCCCACCACACCATCTCCTGCCAGTCTCCTACCGATCTTCCTCTGCTGCCACCATTTCTCTGCCACTGCTGCTTGCTGTGTTCATTGTTACAGCTCTCTCTCTTGTTCTCCTGTTTCCAGGAGCCTCCCAGCACCCCAGGTCCACAGGACTTGCTCTACTCCGAACTCTTCTTCCTCGGTGGTGGTGAGATCCTCCTCTCCCACCTCTGGGATGGCTCATTTTAAGCCTAGTTGTTGTTGTTTGTTGTTAGGTGCCGTCAGGTCGGTTCCAACTCAGCAACCGTATGTACAACACAACGAAACACTGCCCAGTCCTGTGCCATGCTCACAATCGTTATGCTTGGGCCCATTGTTGCAGCCATGGTGTCAGTCCATCTTGTTGAGGGTCTTCCTCTTTTTTGCTGATGCTCTACTTTACCAAGCATGATGTTCTTCTCCAGGGACTGATCCCTTATGGCAGCATGTCCAAAGTATGTAAGACATAGTCTCACCATCCTTGCGTCTAAGGAGCATTCTGGTTGTACTTCTTCCAAGACAGATTTGTTTGTTCTTTTGGCAGTCCATAGTATATTCAATATTCTTTGCCGACACCACAGTTCAAAGACGTCAATTCTTCTTCGGTCTTCTTTATTCGTTGTCCAGCTTTTGTATGCATATGATGGCGATTGAAAATACCATGACTTGGGTCAGGCGCACCTTAGTCTTCAAGGTGATATCTTTGCTTTTCAACACTTTAAAGAGGTCCTTTGCAGCAGATTTGCCCAGTGCAGTGCGTCTTTTGATTTCTTGACTGCTGCTTCCATGGGTGTTGATTGTAGATCCAAGTAAAATGAAATCCTTGATAACTTCAATCTTTTCTCCATTTATGATGATGTTGCTTATTGGTCCGGTTATGGGGATTTTTGTTTTCTTTGTGTTGAGGTGTAATCCATACTGAAGACTGTGGTCTTTGATCTTCATCATTAAGTGCTTCAGGTCCTCTTCACTTTCAGCACAAGGTTGTGTCATCTTTATATTGCAGGTTGTTAATGAGCCTTCCTCCAGTCCCAATGCACCATTCTTCATATAGTCCAGCTTCACGGATTATTTGCTCAGCAGACAGATTGAAGTATGGTGAAAGAATGCAACCCTGACACACACCTTTCCTGACTTTAAACCATGCAGTATCCCCTTGTTCTGTCTGAACAACTGCCTCTTGATCTATGTACAGCTTCCTCATGAGCACAATTAAGTGTTCTGGAATTCCCGTTCTTCTTATTGTTATCCATAATTTGTTATGATCCACACAGTTGAATGCCTTAGCATAGTCAGTAAAACACAGGTAAACATCTTCCTGGTATTCTCTGCTTTCAGCCAGGATCCATGTGACATTAGCAATGATATCCCTGGTTCCTCGTCCTCTTCTGAATCCGGCCTGGATTTCTGGCAGTTCCCTGTCGACATACTGGTGCAGCAACTTATGAATGATCTTCAGCAACATTTTACTTGTGTGTGATGTTAATGATATTGTTTGATAATTTCTGCACTCGATTGGATCACCTTTCTTGGGAATAGGCATACATATGGATTTCTTCCATTCGGTTGGCCAGGTAGCTGTCTTCCAAATTTCTTGGCATAGACGAGTGAGCACTTTGAGCACTGCTTCCATTTGTTGAAACATCTCAATTGATTTTCCGTCAATTCCTGGAGCCTTGTTTTTCACCAATGCCTTCAGCACAGCTTGGACTTCTTCTTTCAGTACCATCAGCTCCTGATCATATGCTACCTCTTGAAATGGTTGAATATCGACCAGTTCTTTTTGGTATAATGACTGTGTATTCCTTCCATCTTCTTTTGATGCTTCCTGCGTTGTTTAATATTTTCCCCATAGAATCCTTCACTATTGCAATTTGAGGCTTGAATTTTTTGTTCAGTTCTTTCAGTTTGAGAAATGCCGAGCGTGTTCTTCCCTTTTGGTTTTCTATCTCCAGCTCTTTGCGCATGTCATTATAATACTTCATTTGTCTTCTCGAGCCTCCCTTTGAAATCTTCTGTTCACCTCTTTTACTTCATCATTTCTTCCTTTTGCTTTAGCTACTTGAAGTTCAAGAGCAGCTTTCCAAGTCTCTTCTGACATCCATTTTAGCCTTTGCTTTCTTTCCTGTCTTTTTAATGATCTCTTGCTTTCTTCATGTATGATGTCCTTGATGTCATTCCACAACTCGTCTGGTCTTCAGTCATTAGTGTTGAACACATGAAATCTATTCTTGATATGGTCTGTAAATTCAGGTAGGATATACTCAAGGTCATACTTTGGCACTCATGGACTTGTTCTCATTTTCTTCAGTTTCAACTCGAACTTGCATTCGAGCAACTGGTGGTTTGTTCCGTAGTCAGCCCCTAGCCTTGTTTCGACTGATGAAACTGAGCTTTTCCCATTGTCTCTTTCCACAGATGTAGTCGATTTGATTCCTGTATGTTCCATCTGTCGAGGTCCATGTGTATAGTCGCTGTTTATATTGGTGAAAAATGTATTTGCAATAAAGAAGTCGTTGGTCTTTCAAAATTCTATCACATAATCTCCGGCATCGTTTCTATCACCTAAGCCTAAAGGGATGGCAAAACTGACTAGTCCCCTTGTTAAGGTTCCATACACATTATTTGCATAGTACCAGTTTATCATTGTGTGTGAGTCACAGAGACTGTGGCTAGAAGGCCCTTTTTAGGTAATTCACTGCACTGCACTGATGAAGATCAAAGACTACATTACAGCCTTCAATATGGATTACACATCAGCATAAAGAAAACAAAAATCCCCACAACTAGACCAATAAGCCACATCATGATAAATGGGGAAAATGTTGAAGTTGTCAAGGATTTCATTTTACTTGGATCCACAGTCAACACCCATGGAAGCAGCAGTCAAGAAATCAAACGATGTATTGCATTGGCCATATCAGCTGCAAAAGACCTCTTTAAAGTGCATGTGAAAGCTGGACAATGAATAAGGAAGACCAAAGA